AATATTTGGTCTGTCATACACAGCTAAATTTTGAAGAATTTAAAAAATTAATAATAGTAATTAATAAAAGAAATGATAACTCTCAAAAAACAAGTTGGTGAATCCAAAAGAGAGAGGTAATGAGGTTTGAATTATTTCTTTGTCAAATCTCTGAAAAAATGATAAAAGTCTTCCAAAGTCCGTGCAGGGTCACTATAGAGAAAATCTGAAACAAGTATGTCTCTAAAATAAATAGTTAAAATTGGAAAGTACTTAATATAATTATAAATACTTTGTTACAGTGAAGAATGGCTGCATTTCAAGTATGTGAGGGCAAAGCCCCCTGTTTCCCAGCAGACATAAAAATCCTTGAAAAATGTTAGTCTTCCTTTATTTATTTATTTACATCCCCCCCCCCTTTTTTTGTTTTTTTTACATTAAGAAGTTTGCCATTCTTTTGCTCTTCTTGATCATGCCTTTTTTTGTCCTTTCTTACCTTGAATGCCAAATACATGCATTGAAATATTAATGCATTCTAAATAGAAAGTTGAAACATGAACCACTTTAGAAGGGTTCCAGAGCATATGAGAGTAGGTGTGTGTGTGTGTGTGTGTGTGTGTGTGTGTGTGTGTGTGCATGTATGTATGTGTATGTGTGTGTTTGTTTTATTTTTTAATAACTTAATTGTCTGCCACTGTGTCCCGGCCCATATCTCAAACATAAGAGCACATCCATAGGGGATTAATGAGTTCTAGGTTGCCTTGGTGGTCGAGGAGCTAACACAGGGGTGGGGTAGGGGTGGGGTGGGCAGTAAGTTCTAGGTCCTCATGGTGACTGAGGAGATTAACAGGCTTGGGTCACAACAGTCTTGGGAGATTTTGTTCATGTTATGAAACAATCTTGGGCTATCCTAAATTCACATAATTAGGGCATTGCTTCGGTCACCTGAGTAGCAAAACTCCTTTTAACTTTGGTGTTCCTTGAAGGACTACAGCGTCAAGCTGGGTTTACTCACTCTCATTTTACAGCAGTAGCTCCTTCTGGTCCATTTGAAAGTCTGGAAACAATCTTTCTGGTACTTAATAATAACATACTTAACAGACTCTCTACCTTCAGTGACTGTTGGGTTCATAGTCTTATATGCATGGCATACGATGTGTAGTAGAACGATTGGCTTGATAATGGATTGCCTACATAAAGCATGATGTGCATCCGTTGACATACCAGGACCCTATGGATCTGGAACTTGAAATAAAAGTCAGCACTGAACAGTCAAGATGCCCTTGCAAGAGACATTCTGGGAGCTTGAAGCACTGGCAAGGCTGAGTTTGAGTTCTAGCTCTCCACTCACTGCTTCTGTGACCTTGACCCATATCACTAACCTCTGTCAGCCTTGGCTTTTCTGCTTAAAGAATATGGGAGTTAGCTCCCACTTAAATGATTGTGTATTTTATTTACTTATTTTATGTATCATTCCACAGTGATCTGAATGCAGCACACCTACTTCAGTATCAAATGTCTTTGTAGGGGCTATGCAGATTTTTAAAAGGCAAATATCCACCCGTCACTTTTGGAAAATAAGCCATCACTCATAACAAAAAGAAATGGAAAAGGATCTCCTGAACAGGCATTTCAGACTTCCAGTTTAGTAGTTTCAAAGAATCAAACATTCTTCCTTGTGTGCCAGAATGGCTAGAGATGCCAATTTAAATTAAGAAGTTGGAAGACTATCTATGACATTTTTTAAGACAATTTCCAGCTAATAAAAATATCATACACACACTCATTGCCTGCTAATCGGAAAAAGCATATGTAATGACGGAAGGCTCTTGAGGATGAGGGAACTCTTCTCACTAAATTTGTGTTTTGTTCATCATAACAAACATGTTCAAACACTTGAGAAAGAGGAGGGTTTACAGGTGTGTGCCATTCGTATTCATCACGAAGCTAATGCTTTGTTACCCTTTAGGATGGGTGTCTACCTTTCACTAATTTAGAAGCTTTGAAATATCCATGGCCTCTCTGCTCCTTCCTCTAATTCCTTTCATTTCCTGTGCTAATAGTCTTCCTCTTGGGTTCCTAACCTTGCTTATCTGCCCTCTGCATCGAAAGTGTCCAGAAAGCTCACTCTGGTGTGGCCTAAAAGCTTTTATCAGTTCATAAGCTTTGATACTTGTAACCAGGATTTAACCACGTGGTGCCCAGCCCTGATCAGGCCAGCTGCTCACCTTTGTAAATTGATGCTTTTTATGCCAAGGCAACCACAGAATCTGCCCCACCCCTTTCCCTTCCTTCAAAGGCGAAAGGGACCTGAGGACAGTCAGTAAAGCTAGAGGCCTTACTGGTCACAGTATCTCTGGTTCCCGTGGGTCCATTTGATCTAATTGGAGAGAATCATGAATCATGGTTATTGTACTCAACAGCATACCCTCTCATTCTTTGGACCCCTTTCTCAGCTGCCTGGGGTTGTCCCTCTCAATAGCTACCTAGTATATTTGACTCCACAGCACATTTGTTAATAAGTCATTACAACCTATTTGACAAACATGTTGACTTATTCCCCTTTTGTATACAAACATGTCTGGGGAAATTCATCAAGTGAACATCTTTTCTTTTTAAATAATAACAACAACAATCATCATAATAATAAATAATCTGTTCCATAAAATTAGAAGTTATCTGAAAACACACACCTTTCACTACAGTTCTACAAAAGCATGATAAGAATCTCTGAATGCTTCTCCTTCCTTTACAGAAAACTATGAGAAATGTAGTCTTGATGAGACTTCTCCAACTCACTTAATATTCTATATCATAATTTCCATGAACATTAATATAGCTGAGGGAGCCATACTTGTGGCTTAATTGATTTCAAGTTAGGCCGAATCCTGAATTCCACTCACCAGCTGGGCATCCTTGGACAGTTACTTAAACTCCAAAGACTCCATTTCTTCATGAATAAAATAGTGATGATGTTTCCAGCTTACAGGAATTGCCAAGGATTAACTGAGGCAGATGTGGGAAATACTCGGTAGAAGGTTGTGGCCGGTTGCAGCCCAATGGCCTTAACTGCTGCTGTTATGTTGTTAGTGGCAAACTGAGAAAGAGGGAACACTAACTTAGATGGCTGCATTAGCTAGGCCTGCTCTCTGATAAGATGGGTATTGAAAGCCCCACTGAGAAACATACCACGAAAGGAACCAGGCAGGGGTCTGGCTTCCAGATACAGGGCTAGGAAACTCAGTTCTTGGTTGGGTTGACCATAGTCCCAAATTCCAGATGTGTTTTTTTGTTATTGCTCAGCATTCTATGGTATGGCCATGTTCCCTATCTTGTGCAAGTTAATCACCCCACCGCACTGAGCAATGTCACCTCAGTTTTTATTACTAGAACCTTGACATACCTTAATCAACCATGGCCTTGGAAGGCATGGAGGGTCTGTTTCTCCCCTTCTCTGTATCTCCATCTTCCTTTACTGAAAGTTCAACACAAGTCAATGAATGGCTGAGAAGGGGAATCCACCTCACCTCTTCCTGCTCATCCCTTTGCAATGCTATCCAGTCTTTCAGAGAAACAGAATTTGTCTTTAATTCCTTCACTGCCTTGTATTTCTTTGGCCCAGTGATTTTTATTTTTTTCTTTCTTTTGACTTAAATTTAGCACATATCAATTACAGCTAGCGAGGCCTGTCACGGTGCTCACAGGAAATTCCACGGGACCCTCTTCACACTGGGGATGGAGAACATCTGCTACTTTCATGTTTGGATGCCAGGATTTAGAGGTCAAGGCTGAAGGCTTTGGGGATCGGGGCAAGTGTCAGATTGCAAGCAGCATAATGAACGGCAGTTGCTGACTAGCTCATTTTGCCTGTTCTCAACAGGGAATATTGCCGCTCAGTATAATGAGCTGGGCCTCAGTGTGTTAAATGCATCTAGCTTGGCCAGTGAAACTGGCTATGCCTTTTGCCTCCTGGTTCTGAACTGCATTTTCATCTTGGAAGAAATTATATTGAGGTCTTCATTAGTGGCACCCAGCAGGGGGGAAGCCTCTGTGAGGGCTGATAGCAGAATGGCAAAAAAAAGAAAAAAAAAAAAAGATCAGCTTTTGTGTGGGGAGTTGAAGGTTTAAGTTGCCTGAACTGGAAAGGGTCTGAGGAGGCGATTATGTTAAGCAAGTAATGTGTATCGGTAACATGGAATCAAATTATGAGGGTCAGTAGCTTCCTGGCTTTCCCACTGCACTAAATGAAGACATAATATTGCATTTGTGCCGGGTACTTCTTGAGGCCACCTAGTGTCAGCACTGTCCAGTCGTCCATACTTCCCAGCATGTCACCTCTAATTTCATGGGATTATCTGCACGGCTGCTTTATTAGATGCTCATGAGCTTGAGAGTCCTTTGAACTCACAGCAGGGCTGTGCAGAGTCATTATTGTGAGCACTTCCCTTACATGCAAAATTCTTAGTGCCATCTTTTTACGAAGATAGATACATCCCACTCTCTTGCTTCCAAATGTCTTCACTTGTTTGCACCACAAGCTGCCTAAGGGGAAAACACTGAATATGAAAGATGCTTTGGAGGACTCCCTTGAAAAAGCTGTCAGTACAGTGGATTAATAGCAGAAAGGTATGTGGTCCCTAGTGAGCAGCATCAGGGTCACTTTGGAAAATAGGAATGATGCTGATCCCATTGAATCAGAAAGTCAGGGATAGGCTCAGTGGCCTGTGCTTTAACAAGCCTTCCAGGTGATCGTGAGGTTAGTAGAAGCATGGCAATAACATTCATGGAAAAAAGAAAGGAACAGACCGAAATATTTGGGAATGAAACAATAAACAAGTTATACAAAATACCTGCCTCCATGGATCTCATTAAATTGCAAAGATACTTTGTTCTGATAAAATGTCCTTCCTTATGCCAGTCACGGCCGATGGCATGACATCCTGCACTGGAATGAGTCCTCTCTATTCTTTGGTCCTAGAGAGCGCATGACGACTCATAGGTGATGTCTCTGTGTGTTTCAGAACCATCCCTCTTGCGATCTGCATTTCCATGGCCGTCATCACAGTTGGCTATGTGCTGACAAACGTGGCCTATTTTACGGCCATCAGCGCCGAGGAGCTGTTACAATCCAATGCTGTGGTGGTGGTAAGTCCACATTAAAACCATGCCAGCTTGAATTTAGGCTAAGGAGATTCCCTCCAGGAGAAAGTGTTTTGGAAGTCAGTAATCTTTTCTTGACCTGTATGATAATATTTTGAAAATTTTGAGCACACCTTACTTAGCATATATCATGTCTCTGCCATAGATTCTCTTTGTTTTTATTTTAATCTCCTAGAAAATATTTCCACATATAGCTGCTTAAAACTCCATCAATACTGTCTTAGGAGGAGGAGTTATTTTCCCAGCATGTCTCTATGGACAGGTGGACAGTTACTGAATGTAAATAAATGTGGGTTTTGATTTGTGAAGTGCAACCCCGCTCTGCTCATTTTTAGTGATAAACTTTTCAAATGTTGACTTGATTCCTCTCCAAAGTATCATTCTAGAAATTTCAGGAGGACCATGTCTATCTATTTCTAGCATAACCTTGGAATAGTAGTGTTGGAGAATTCATAAATTTGGGAACAACTAGGCAATTAAATGCTAAAGAGATGTTGCTGTAATACTTGAAGATGCCAGTGTGCATTGTAACTCCCTAAGAATATATACATCCAATTTTAAAGCATTTCCCTAAATTTATTTGAAAACCAAGATCATAGTTGTTTCCAAAGATCATGCTATGAGGCTGTTTCTGTAACACAGACTTTTATTTTGCTCAAACATTTTGGCTTGTAAGAAAGAATTCACTCATTAACTCAAAAGCAGGAAGGGTGAAAAAATTAAAACTGTCCATGAATGTCAATTCCTTTTAAAATAGGATCACTTCCTATCAACACCACCCACAGGGGATAATTATCTCATTTTGTGTGAACCAACTTATGAGTTCACTGTATGAAAAGGCTTTGTCCACTGGCGGGGCTTGCTATCAGGCAGTGACATGTATAAAGCTTCTGGGTGTCTGGTCAGTTGCCTCACCTTTCCAGGCAAAGGGCAGCACTAATTTTTTGAGAACATAATGGGTTCTGTTAATTGCATAGCTCCGGCTGCATCAAGAACAATGAAAAAAAAACCCTACATTAAAAAAAGAAGTGTATCCTTCATAGAAATGTACAGGGCTGCGCATGTGACAGCCTACAAGGAAATCTCGGAACTTTGTCTACCTTTTCTATTTCCTGTCACCTGTCAGGATTGGAATTGTGTTCTAGCTTTTTACAGGAAAGCCTGGGAGGAAATGACAGCTTCCTGGGATGGGGGAGGGCTAACTCCATAAACAGGTTCAGCTGGTATGACTGTACTGGAGGAAAGAACAGTGCAGACCGGCGCATTCGTATGACATAACTGATCAGCTTGTGTGTTGTCTTGTTTTACCGTCTAGCACCAGGGTTGGTATGTGAAACAAATACCTGTAACTCACATGAATGCTTATCCTTACCCCATCACACAAAGGTGGCTTTCTGGGCGAAAGAGCACGCATTGTGCGGAACCATTTCTGTCTCTAAAAGTAGAATTTCCGAATTGAGCTTCCTCCTCTGATCAGAGTCAGAGACGATATACATCATAGTTGATAAAGATTCCGCAAATGGATCGTTGCTTTGAAGGGAGAGAGAAGGGCGACTGTTGAGACCTTTGCTCACAGGTCTGAGACAACCAACGCTATGGTACCCGCTTCTGATGATTGTCTGTGGAGTCAGTTTGACCCCAACCAAAAGGAAGGATTATAAAACATTCACGTAGCACCGGGCTAATAGAAAGTCAAAGAGCAAGTTTGGCCTAAATTGTTTCATTTTATTCCACTTTCTGGGAAAGCATTAATTTGCTTCGTTCTTTCTTTCCCCAGACCTTCTCTGAGCGGCTGCTGGGAAATTTCTCATTAGTAGTCCCGATCTTTGTTGCCCTCTCCTGCTTCGGCTCCATGAACGGTGGCGTGTTCGCTGTCTCCAGGTGAGCGAGTTCATGTATTTTCAGAAACACATTTCTGTTTTAGAGATTGGATGTGATAAGGATAACTTTTAAAGAGAAAAGCAATAGTGCCTCCAAACCTGTTGTTTTTAAAGGGATATGCAAGTTTGGAGTAGATTCAAGTGAAGCATGTTTGATTCTGTCCAGTAGAGGGCGCTGCGGGCCTACATATAGCCTGCTCCTCTCCTCGCTGGCCATGCGACGTTTTTTAGAGTCTGTCTACAGAGTCTCATAACAGCTTTTATTTCTGGCGATAAAGTCTTTTGTTTTTTCTGAAGGTGCCACGAAAAAGAGTAAAGTAGAAAGCAAAAATAACCACCCCACCATCTGTAACCCTTTTGCTTTGTTTGATGGTATGAAGATTTCTTGTTTCCTTATGTTACATTTTAAATCAGATAAATCTGAATGCCACATGTATGTACATGTGTGTGCAATGCATGTGTGCTAGATTAGATTGACACTCGCAGTCTAGAACTGACTTTGCCACCAGCTCTCCCTGTGTAGGAAAAGCTCCACTCTGTGGGATGTTGCTATTGCTTTTTCTCAAAGCATACTCTGATATGTTCTAGATATCCCTTTGGAATGATTGATTCTATCGTCAACTCCACCCACGTTTTTCTCCCACCAGGCTATTCTATGTCGCGTCTCGAGAAGGGCACCTTCCGGAAATCCTCTCCATGATTCATGTCCACAAGCACACTCCTCTGCCAGCTGTTCTTGTTTTGGTAATGCACATTAACAAGTATATGTAGATACAACCTCACAAAATGTTTAGCAAAAAGAGGCAGTTGAAACAGACATCCTAATTCACCACTCAATTGGCGCTCATTGTATCGTGTTGGGGAGGCCAGAGATTTTGCCATGGCTTCCTTTGTGTTTCTGATGTGTATGGGATGCCCTGGGGAAGGCCCCACCTCACGTCTCTTTCACCTTTGAAAAGATTTGTAAGGTATAATGGGAAGTAGGTGCCGTGGTTTCTCTCCTTGGCAGAAAACCTCAAAGGAAAAAACCACAAGGACACAGTCTGAACCACTGACTCAGAGTTCAGCTGGAAGCAGACTGTGCTAACATTACCCATTGTCTCCTCCTGGACCCTGTCATAATGAAACACACACAATGTAATTCAAAGCATAGACAAAACACTAAGCCGTGAAATGGTTCTCCAATCGTAACTGAGACCTGTGAGAGCTAACCTTACAGAGAAGAAAGGAAAACCCCACATGCAAATGGAAGCTGTGGATTTCTCTATGCTGGCAACAATGTTTGTGAAATGTGGCTACAAAAGACTGTAAAAGGTGGAAGAGCCCTCAAATACCCATTGGCAATGATACAGTCGTTTTTAATTTAGTAGCTTCTTTTTTTCTCAACTGGAATGTGCTGTCCAGAGTGCCCTAGGAAGCATTGAAGATTTTTTTCTTCTCCATGCACTTAATTTGTTTCAGAATGTTTCCTTGAAGTTTCTTTTTAAAGTACACACACACTCTGCGAGGAATCTCGAAGCTAACGTCCCGTGTGGGAACAGGATGTATTATTCCATGACGAAGGCTTTCGTCTGAAGCATCTGCTATCAGTAAGGCATCCTCGGCTTTTTCAGCTGCAGAGGCCCGCTCTGTGGCTCTCCAGGCTTCATTCTTTCCTGTTCACATGCAGTTAGCACAAGGGGAGAGTTGACCTGGACCAGGAAAATGTCAATGTTTTGCTTCCAGGAGCTGAAAGATTCATCTCCACATGGTTGTTTCCTGTGTGTGTCTCAGGAATCACTTCAGAGATTCCTTTAAGCTTTCTAGTGGAGTCTGTATTTAATATTTATGATTGGCACTTGCTAATAATTGATTCTGCATTGATTTTGAGTGATCGAAGGTCTTTTTTTTTTTTTCTTTTTATTCTTTGGAAACACATTGTTTTGGGGTAGGGTGTGCCTGGTGCACTGCTAGCCTTCAAAGCATGAGAACCTGAGTTTAGTCCCCTAGAACCACATTTTAAAAAATGCTGGTATGGTGGCCTGGGTTCAAAAATCCCAGTGCTGGGGTGGGAGGCACAGAGATAGGGAGATCCCTGGAGCCCACAGCCAGCCAGCCTAGCATACAGGGTCAGTTCTAGGCCAATGAGAGACCCGATCTCACAAGGTAGAAGTTACCTGAGGGATGGCAGGCTGAGGACAGCAGCCAAGATTGTCCTCTGGCCTCCACATGCATTTATAAACATACCTGCATTTATAGACGCGTGCACCTGCATATAGATGGACACACATTCACACAAAAACAAAACAACAACAGAAAACACGTTGTCTCCTCTCCAGGGACAAGAAGGAACTGACAAAGTAACAAAACAGCAAAGTCACAGAATATCCCAACTGAAAAGGGGGGTGATAACGGCACCCTCCAGCTGAGGCTTAGTTGCAGCCTAAGAACAGAATATGGAAAAAAAAAAAACTTGTGGAGTCTAGGCTTCGGTCAGGATGATGGTTTCTGGTTATAAATAACCACTGGAAAGACACTTGTAATGGGAGGCAATGTTGCTGTTTGGTATTGCCCGCTCCCTCTTAGTTCCGTGCATTTACTTTGCCTCCTCTCCTCCCCGCCAGCATCCTTTGACGATGATAATGCTCTTCTCTGGAGACCTCTACAGTCTTCTGAATTTCCTCAGTTTTGCCAGGTGGCTTTTTATGGGGCTGGCAGTTGCTGGGCTGATTTATCTTCGATACAAACGCCCAGATATGCACCGTCCTTTCAAGGTAACCGCAGTGATCTTGATGGGTTTCCATAAATCTCTCTCCTAATACCTAGACCTTTTTGTCATAACTTGATGATGGGGAGGTTAGGGGGAGGGTGGGGTACTGCAGTGTAAAATATTTAACTCTTGCAGGGAACGCTTCTAATATGCTTCACTTAGGGAAAGTATAGACATTAGTAAGTGTGCTACAGTGAATTCGTCACAGATTTTATCTGTTGAGAACAGATAGTGTTGAAAGATACTTTTGATGTTGGGTGTTCATGCATGGCTCGGTGTGTTCAGAAGGTGTAACACCCCTATCTGTCTTCATATCCAATTGTTGACACAGCTGGGCTGTGAAAGGCAGAGTACTTCATTAATTATAACGGGGAAAAGGGTGTAGCGTTGCAAATTAGTAAGCATTTTTAACTTGTTAACATTGTAGTAGTTTTCCTCCATATACTCTAAAGCAATGGTTCTCAATCTGGGGAACCTGGAGGTCAAATGACCCTTTCACATGGGTCTCCTAAGACCATCGGAAAACACAGATATTTATCTACACTATGATTCAGAACAGTAGCAGAATTACATTTATAAAGTAGCAATGAAAATAATTCTGTAGTTGGGGGTCACCACAGCATGAAAAAATATATTAAAGGGCCACAGCATTAGGAAAGTTGGGAAGCACTGTTGTAAAGAAATATGAAAGAGCAAAGGAAGAACTTGTGACCAAGTAGGATGGACATTCACTGTTCCTGACATTTTCCTTTGGGAAGGCAGGAGAGCAGGCCTGTCATCTCCTCAGCCTTGGATGTCCATGGGTCAGTGCGATCTCACTATTTATTTGCTTTGAAGACATAGCACTGATAATGCTGCCAGTCATGTTATCAGGATTTGTTTCTAATTGTATTCACTGCCACATGCTTGCAGCATCTTTATTAGCTGTTGACTAGGAGTTGGCCTGTTTTATTCCCATCGGGTGGCAGTGTGACTCTGAACAGGAAGTCAATATTCACTGAGAGGTGTTAACATGTAGCAAAGCCACCGGCTGCTTGACTCCATGTGAAAGTGGGCTCTCATCCTAATTACCAAATAGCCAGTCTTTTAAGATGAAAAATGTAAGTCATAACGATACCTTGCTAGGGAAAGAATTTGAATAGACCATCCACGAGGAAACACAGTTTCCTAGCCTTAGACTTGGTTCAAATATTCTAAGACAAGTTCAAGTTAAGAAACCACACCTAATAGGTGCTCTGTGCTGCTTGAAGAGATTTTGATGCTTAAAGGAGTTGGGGGCTTTCGGCCTGGTCACGTGACTGGTGCGCTCCGCCCCTGGTCTCTTGCACGTGTGTGAAGGCTGATTCGTTTTGCCTGTGTTCCAGGTGCCTCTCTTCATCCCAGCGTTGTTCTCCTTCACCTGCCTCTTCATGGTTGTTCTCTCCCTGTACTCGGACCCATATAGCACGGGGGTTGGCTTCCTTATCACGTTGACTGGAGTCCCTGTGTATTATCTCTTCGTTGTGTGGGACAAGAAACCCAAGTGGTTCAGACAATTATCAGGTACGACTTTTAAGCCTCTTGGACCTGGTGAGAGACTGTGGTGTAGAAAACCCATAAAGGTGCACACATCCAATATACATCTCTTGAAGTTCAGAGCTACATATGGTACAATTGTTTTTAAAGGGAATTACTGCATTTTAATTGCAGCTGTGAGGAGAAAGACAGGAAGGGCATTTAGAGTGCAGCCCCGTTGAACCCTATTGGGTGGTTAATTTGGGTGGTTGGAGTCCCAGGCATGTTAGGGAATAGCTTCTTTAGGTAGCATTTTTTTTTTCAGTACTGTAAATGGTCTCAACTGCTTTTTTGAATCCCTTAGTGAGATAATGATTGTTCTCCTGGGTTGAACAAAAGTCTAGAGACTGTCATAGCATTAAATTGACCAGTGACATGAGATTTCTTGGTGAGGGAGATGGAAGCTTGCAAATGTCTTACATCATGGCTATAATACTACCTTGTTAGGAAAATGGAGCGACAGAGGGTTCTGAAAACAGCAAAAACCATGAACAGAAGAACAGCTTGTGTTTCCTGTGTGGTTTCTATATGCTTGCACACGGGTGACCATTTTCAGTCCTAACAACCATTTGAAGTAGTAGAAGTCATTGTCCCTATTATGCAAATTTTGAGTGATGTCACCAGAGAATTCATGTCATTCTTACAGGTCATGTGGATGTAAGTAAAAGAACCAGGGCTCAAACTCAGAAGGTTGCCTTTGAAAAAGCAGTGCTGGGCTGAGGATGGAGGAGAGAAGGTTGAGGCTGAAGAGAGAAAAGACATGGTGGTTTCTTCAGGGACAGCCACGAGGACACTAGCAGGACTAATGGGGAGTTAAAAGCACTAAGGAGGAAAAGCTGGTTAAACTTGATGGCCAGTTAAAATGTAGAGGAGAAAATGCAGCTCACTTGGTCAGAGGGGTGCTTTGGAAGAGCCTCCGTGTCAGGGGCTCTTATGATCTCTTTCTCCAGCTTCACTGTCTCAGATCAGTTCCCTAAGGATCCACATCTATGATTCTGTTTCTACCTGGTGAGGAAGCCAGGGCTCAGCAAGAGGGAGAATTTAGAATTGGGTATACAGAGTCTTAAGCCTTACAGCTGGGATTTGAACTCGCATTTGCTGGACATCAGTATCCACTGTGTTAGATTTTCACCACCATGACAAAATATGAGATCAAGAATAATTTAAAGGAAGAAAAGTTTATTTGGGCTCATGGCTTCAAAAGTTTCAGTTCACACACCTTCATGGTTGCCCTTTCCCTTCCTGGGACCCTTCAGTTCTGGGATTGACTTTATCACCACACTGATGGTGCTGGCTCTGTTGTTGGAGGTTTTTACTCTACAGGGGGCCTGACACCCAGCTCCCAAATAAGTCACACACAGAGGTTTATGCTTAATTACAAATGTCTGGCCTTAGCTTGGCTTGCTTCTTGCCAGCTTTCCTTCCTTAAATTATCATATCTACCTTTTGCCTCTGGACTTTTTTCATTCTCTTACTTCTGTAAATCTTACTTTTACTCCATGGCTTGCTGTGTAGCTGGGTGGCTGGCCCCTGATGTCTGCTCCTTCTCTGGTTACTTCTTCTCTCTCCCAGATTTCTCCCTCTATATATTCTCTCTGCCTACCAGCCCCGCCTATCCTTTCTCATGCCTTGCTATTGGCCATTCAGTTCTTTATTAGACCATCAGGTGTTTTAGATAGGCAAAGTAACACAGCTTCACAGAGTTAAACAAATGCAACATAAACAAAATTAACATACCTAAAAATAATATTCTACAACATGGCTCTATTGCTTTTAGAGGCCTGGGAGTACCTGATGAGGTGAAGCTGTTTCCAGGATGCAGAGAACTCAACAGAACAAGGGACTAGGGTTAAAAAAAATACCTTTTAAATGCAGTCCTCAATCATCTAATTCTTCCAAACAAACCCAGCTTCAAGTGACAAATTCAGCTAAATACCTATCAGTAGATTAAATCCTGGTGGCCCTTGACACAGGAAGAGTGCATTAGCATAAATAAAAATTTCCTCATTTACGTTAAGTCTGGTATTTTATGATAGTGACTTGGGTTAAGTCACATAAAATATATTTTCAAAACCAGATATGCTGTTGTTTATGAGTTTGGCGAGTTTAGAATGCAAATTCCTTTTTGTTTTGTATTTGGTCTTAATTCACTTAATTTATCATGCCTAATCTTAAAACTTGAAGGAAGGACATGATCTTGAAGCTTTACACCCTTGAAATCACAACAATATGGTCACCTAAACAAGACCCACGTAATGACAGCCCAGGGTGACATGCCAAGGTGATAGAGGAAATCTTACAAGGCCACATCCCTAGATTAAGAGCAACAAATCCCTAGATTAAGAGCAACAGGAAAGCAATGGCTGATGAGAGAGGGAGATTGGTCTTCTCCCAGGCCAAGTCCCAATTCCAGGTGGCCAGCCCTACACACATCTACACACCATCAACACCAAATGGACTCAGTATGTTTATATATGTTATATATATAAACATATATATATAGTTTGTATATGTTATATACATATATGTATATATGTAAAAATAGCAATTAAAAAAGTCATAAATTTGAAAGAGAGTTGGGACATGATAGGAGTTGGTAGTTAGAGAGGGAAGAATAATGTAAATGCAGTATTCATATATGAAGTTCTCAAAAACATAAAAACTTACATTGGAAGTCTAGAGATTAGTGGGAAATTTTTCAAAAAGTGAGTATTGATACAAAACTACAACAAAAAGATTTATTTGTGGACTCTAATATATTCAAAAACATTCAGAAGCCAGCCATTTAAAGTAGTTTTGCCATGACTCCTTACTAACTGATTTGGGAACTTCTGATTTCCTACCACAATTTCTACTTGGATTTAACTATCTAGCTGGCAACACTATTCCTGTAAGAAATGTTGCTATGTAAATTAGGATTTCAAGGCTAACGGAAATACGCTAATTCACTGAGCAATGCATGGTCTCTATATCCTGCACAGCTGTATTTATTTTTCTATAGAATGTATTTAGTTAGGTTTTTTCTACTGGAGACACTGGCTATGGATCCGAAGGGAGGATAAATTTTGTTAAAATATTTAGGATTAGTATTACTTGGCTTCTTGATACAGTTTAGGGCCGTGTTGGGAGTGAGATGGAGGTACACAGACAAAGAGGCCTTGAGCAGGGCAGACAGCCCTATGCCCAGAAGAAAGAGTCAGCAGCTTTTGAGAAGGAGCATGGAGTGAAGAAAGGGTGAGTTCTGTCCTCTCCTGTGCAGTCAGCCAGTTCTAGCCAGTCTCTACCACAGGCACATGCTCGAAGGCACTCTGTCAGTTCTGAACAGGCATTTTCATACAAGATCTTTCTTTGTTGTCCTTCTGCGCTCATGTAATTTTGGAGTTTTTGCTATTTTTCTGCTTCTAATGATGCTTTGAACATCTCCAAGGCTGCTGAATTTAGTGTCAGCCATTTGTGGAATGAACTTCTGGGAGGGAGACCTACGATGGTGGTTTGGTTCTTGGGGATGCTCTGGCATCTGACCAGGGACACAGCATTCTGCTTTAAACTGTGATCATTGCGATTCTTTATCTTTATAGACGCCTGGGAAGGGACTAGGGAGAAGCAACGGTCCTCTGTAATTCTGCTTGATTTTACTCTTAGGCAGTGTTCTTGTAGGAAAATAAAGAAAGTTCATAATATTTATTGCTGCAGTGGCAAGCATTTTTGTAGCCTTTGGCCAAAACAAAACACACAGAGACGAAGCATGAGAGTCCTACAGCAGCACTGGACCCTTCCCCCAAAGACACACTTTCTGATTGAGAGAAGACTCCACCTGAGCTTGGAGGCAGGAGAGCCTTGCTTGAAGCAGTTTGTTCAGTACTTTAATATGTTGTGTTGCTTGTAAATGGTCTAGGTTTTAAGTTACGTTTTTTTTTTTTTTTATCTTAATATGTGTGAATGGATTAACCCTGGGAAAATGTGACAGTCTAGCAAAATGCACCTTTCCCTGGGCTGTTTCCAGAAGTTGTAACTAGACATCATTCAGAAACTGGTGCAAGGCTAGTTGGCAGAGCCAGCCAGGGAGTGTTCCTAGCCTCCTAGCCCAAGGATGTGAGATTTCTAGAGATTTGATGAATACCTCTGGCCACAGGATGCCAGTATTGAACCACTTTTTATGTTATAGCATTTCCAGAGCTAGAAGAAAGCACTCTCTTAAGGGGATAGTCATATGCGGAAATCTTCCTCCCCCAGCTGTAAGAGGGCGGTTAATTCTTCTGCTTGGTTGTTTATATGGTTTATTTATCTACAGACAGGCAAACTTCGCAGGGGAGGAAAAGGGGGCTGGTTCCACCCTGATGTGTCCAGATACACAGAGGTACTAGACCCTGGGAACCCAGACCAGGGCTAGTGGCAGCCATTGAACTTGATAGCCCCTAGTTATCTGCTCAACCTGATCATAGCTGAGAGCCAGTGGGGTGACTAGCAGCTGGCCCCTCTTGCTCAGGTAGAGATAGGGAGGCAGCTGTATTTAAACAAAATCTTTGATTATAAAGACAAACAAACAAATAAACAAAAACCATTCTGGCCGACATGAACAGAATGCCTATAATCCATCTTTGTGGACAGCAAGCTTGCAACTCCAGAGCCTGAAAGCATATGTTGCTCAAGGTATATCAAGATAGCTTCATCTGGGACAGGCCCCTAAGAGCCAGTTAATGCATTTGCAGACTTTCCCTAAAGATTAGAGTGTACCTTTTTAATTCATTAAGTTTGCCTGTATTTCTTAGGGGCTCAAAACATGTTCTGAGACTAAATAAATATGCATATGAAAGCATTTTTAAACCCTCTTTTAAGAGAACATACTGTTACTTTCAATATAATTTCTGGGGCTGGGTGGCTTTGCATTGCTTCCCAAGCTCACTCAGTCTTGGCTGTTGCTCCCCTGCGGATACCAGGTATGGTGGGGAGTGAGATTTTGCAAACTCAGTTTTTCCAGTTTGCGTCGAGAATAACAAGGGAACATGAAAAATAAAACTGAAATCACTGCATTGCTGTGAGTTCCTGTGGGTTGTAACTATGGAAAACTGCAGGTCATCGGCTCACCTTTATTTAAAGGGGCAGTAATGTTGATTTATATTGTCCGGCCACTAATCTTACTGTGAGAGTGAACAGAATATACGGCACTCCAAAGTCACATATTCTGCAGTGTTTCTAGAAGCTTCCTTGGCTCCACTGGGTACCTGTGCCAGCCCCACTGCTGTAGGACAGCCTCAAAGGAAAAGTTGGAAACCAATGAGTATTGAAGGCAATGCCAATCCCTTTGCTGAACACACCACCATAATACAAGTTATGGCACTACTGGAACCCCAAAGGGAGAGTTTAGGAAATTCCAGGGGAGAATGTCAACAGGATTGAGTAGGCAGAACCATACAGCTGGGTCTCTGTCTTGCTCTGCTGAAAGGAGAATCTGAACTGTCTTTTCAGAAGGGCACATGCAAACATGTGTCTGGAATGGCTGTAAAGTTCCCATACCAGAAAGAACTCTAAGAAGGCAAGAGTGGGAAAGCCACATTATGGGAGAACACGAGGACAATCTTTGATGTCAGGTGTGAGGAATGGGGCTAAGTGAGACGACAAGACAGAGAGATTAGCTTAGGGGCAACAGGCAGGGATGCCTTTGAAACATGGGCTCGAGGCCATGTTTCTTTAACCTCATTGCTTTCCTTTACAACTCTTCTTGTACTTTTATCTTGTAACCTACTATCAGATGGCTTGGCTCCTTGTCTGCCTATAAAAGCCACCTTCCCCATACTGCTGATAGATAATTCCCCAAGCCTATTTTCATAGTATAATTTTGCCATGTCCTTTTCTGCAAATATGGGATTTGATTGTTGCTCTCATGGCGGGGTGGACTGTTACAAAATATAATTTATTTAAGAATTACATAAGGTTTAATTCACTTGACAATAGTACACATGAAACCCTTTACAATAAACATGGAATAAAAAAAAAATAATGTGCCCAGGAAACTCCCTCAGGAATAGGATTGTACTTGTTACTGTTTGTTTTCTGCCATGACAACATACATACCCGAGAAGAGGCAAGTTAAGGGAGGAGGCATTGCTCTGGCTCAGAGTTTGAGTGACTACAGCCCATCCTGACAGAAAAGGCATGACTGTAGGGGTTTCATGAGTGGCTGGTCACACTGTCTGAAGTGAGGGAGCAGAAACCAAGTAGAGACCCCGTAGGAAGTAAGGCTGGATTGTAGAGTCTCCATGCCGGCCCGTGTAAACTCACATTTGTAGATGCAACTGTCTTATTAAACAAGAAACACAGAGCCAATGCAGAGATGAAAGCCCAAGAGGTCAGAGCTAAAAACCTTACCCTTCACTGGTGCTGCTGTCTTCCTCAGCAAGAGACCTACTTCCTGTCTGTTTGTCCTTTTTATAGACTTTCTATTCTGCCTTCTCATTGGTTGTAAACCCAACCACATGACCTCCTCGTCACTGCCTGTCTGTACAGCCCTCCAGGTCTTCTATGGTTGATATTGAGATTAAAGGTGTGTGTCTCCATGCTGCCTGTATCCTTGAACACACAGAGGTCCGCCTAGCTCTGCCTCCCAAGAGCTGGGATTAAAGGCGTGCACCACCACCGCCCAGTTTCTGCTATGGCTTGCTATTAGCTCTGACCACCAGGCAGCTTTATTTATTAACATACAAATAAAATCACATTTCAGTACAATTAAAATATCACCATACACATTCTTCAGTGAAGCTTCACTCCTTAAACCTTCCACAGCCTTCCTAAACAGTATCAGCAGATGAGGACCAAGTGTTCAAATACAAGACCTCTGGGGGACATTTAGCATTGAAACCACAATGCTCAGAGAGCAAAAGATGAAAATAGCTTTTTTAATGTAGTTAAATATTGTTTTGAGAGCCTGTTAGAATAACGAGTTATCAGAAAAGAGAAAGACTATCTGGAGGAGAGATGATTTGGTTCTGAAACCTTTAAGAAGACAGAGCCTGGGGTTTTCTAAGATTAGGAAACTTCTGACGATGTTCTGTGGGGGTTGGTGACAATGAGCAAACAAGAATGTCCCTGGAATCATCACCACAGAGCTCAGCGCTCTAGGGTTGTGGGTAGAAAGTGTCCTTAGAAGTAATAAAACTCAGGGGTTCTTATATTTTAGTGCTTGTTACAGTTACCTCTTGCTGGGTTAAACCTTCAGCTTCTAAATTAGGAGACTAAGGATTGAATTTGAAGCAAATTTGGAACTGTGGACGATACTTAATGGAATTGGTTCAAGGACCAGACCTTAATGACCCAGATTAGTCCAAGTTTCTCATTCTATTTATGAGACAGACGAAGCCTTGATAAATATGGTAATTTGCTCAACAATACTACAAATTAGACACTGAAAATAATATTCTTCTCTTGACTGTCCTGAGAAATTGGTTGTCGTCTCTGAAAAAAGAACAAACCCATTCTGAGCTGAACATGAAGCGTATTTGTAAACATTTATTTATATGTTGGTCCCACTGTCTCAAAATATTTTCAGCCTCCTGGTTCATAAATAAGTGTTCTTATTTGAATGCAAAATATTAATATATTCTTACTGAGGAAACATCATGGGAAGTTGTAGAAGTGACAAGTAAATTAATTGAGCATGATAGGATTGTAATGAAGTAAATAATTCTTGAAAGTGCACTACAAAGAAGGTGGCCATGCACTCTCAGTATGCATCCCCAAATAATTCACATTTTGCTATTTTTATGCTGTTCTGATTTTCATGCATTTTAATCTCTCCTTATTTCTTTGTAGACAGAATAACCAGAACATTACAGATAATACTACAAGTTGTACCAGAAGACTCTAAAGAATTATGAACTTAATACATCAAAATCTTGGCTATCTGCCCAGGACTGAGATACAGAATGGATCTTTATTTCAAGAAAACACAACTTTGGTGATGGACTAAAGGAACCGGTTATTTCTATTCATATCCTCTAATGTATTCAAACTAATTTCTGAGCAATTTACTGGTAACTCAATGTATTTGTAGAAAGCTAATATGCAAGTCACATAGTGAGGCAAGGGCAGTGTTGGAGTCTGGTGCTTACCCACTGAGGTAAGGGGACAAGACAAGGGGCATTGCCAACAGGGCTATCATTCTCTGTAATATTTCTTATCACGACCAAGAACCTTCAAATGGAAGACCAAAGTGTTTTCTGTATATAGGGGGTCTGTATACATAGCTTTACCTACTGGGACACCTATACTGTGAAAAGTATTTTCTATTTTTCTGAAAAAAATGTTATTATTGTGGCAAAGGGGCCAGAAATAACTTTATTTTACATAGAACTTGGATGGTTTTGCTTTGGTGACCAACATGGCTGTCACTTATATTTCAATGGCTTATACTCAGAGCATCAGAACAAAAGATGGGGGAGTACTCTGTGTGTGTGTGTGTGTGTGTGTGTGTGTGTGTGTGTGTGTGTGTGTGTGTGTGTGTGTGTTTTGTGTGTGTGTGTGTATGCAGCTTGAGATCGAACTCAGGGCTTTGATAAAGCCAGGCAAGCACTCTACCTTTGAGCTACATCCACATACCCTAATTTTTTTGAATGCATTAAAGAAGCATTTCTTGAGGCTATGATCTATGAGGCAATCCTAGGAACTGTGTTTGAATAAAAATCATGGAGAATTTGTTAGGTTAAATATGATTTCACTTATTGTCAGGAGGTTTGATGTTTGGAGTGTCACTTTATTTTCATCCTGGTTCCTTAGTTCTGGAAAATGTGCACTTTTTGGTACGACATCCACTGATGAACCACCTCTTTGGTAATTTACTCCTTGATGAATAAAATGAAATTTTAATCACTATAGTACAGCATCAACATGGGAGAAATTGTCCATGAAACTCTAAATATCAGGCTTTGTCCCTATAACCACATTTATATGCAGTGTTAGTCATTCTAATCACTTTTCCCTTTACTTTGTGGCTATTTTTACATGGTGATGACTTCTGACAGTGTGTGCATTCTCTTTACAGTTCTGTTAAAATATGTCCCTGGATAAAATGATCTGGATCAATTAGAAAAAAGCACAGATTTACATAAAAACTATGGAAGAAATGTCACTGCTTAGTGAGACTTTCAACCGATCTTTTAAAAAGTGTCTTCTTCTAAATCTAAGCTTTTTCAATCATTTCTTCACTTTTGTTATAATTCAACTTGCAAAAGAGATCACTGAGGACAAATCTACTGGAGGAGACTTCAGTATGTGTGTTCAGCTAGGTGGTGCTAGGTCAGAAGTAGAAAACACTGGGCAATTTTCAAATAAGGTTAATATAATGATGAGACTTCTAAAACTCTTACTTCTAACATTCAAAATTAAATGCTTAGCACGGCCACACTAAATTTCATCTCTTACATTCTGACCACTTAAAAATGAGATGTTTAAAAAATTATCCTAATTAATAAAATCATTGAGTTCATAGTTAATTGCCCAAAGTACAAATGACGATTTTAATCTAAAGCAATTCACCATTTCAGCTTTTTTAAGTCTCAGTAATACTTAACATATACTCAAAGTTAACTTTGTTTTTTTGTAAAGGCCAAATGAAGTATTTATTTCCCTAAGTGAACCAGTAACAATTCCTCCTGTTTTTACTAATATGGGCTATTCCAAACCTTATGTCTAGTCTCTAGAACCAAAACAGTGTTACTTTGCTGACATCTATCTCTAGCAGATGCCACTGGAGGTGCATATTTATATATTGTTATTTTTACACTAGACCCATAAGATTTAACATGGTGGTGTTTTCTTCTTCCCTATGAAAGAGAGTAAAGCCGTGGAGAGTCCTGTGGGCTCTGGTTCCTGACCCTCTTGTTTCCCCTGCTGTTTGGTCTCCTAGTTATCTTTGATAACTACGTATCTTTCCCTGTACCACTAGTCAGGGTGTGCTTTGTCATCATCCTCCCTTTTCAGAGATTTTTTTTTGTAGTGTTAAATTTATAATGCCATTGTAATACCATTTCTCGAAGCATAAAAAAAATCAGTATTTCTTTAAAATACTGTCTATGGAGTTGCATTTTGGCTTATTTTGAAGTTATACCCTAAGGGAACACAGCATTTCTTTAATCATGGAATTCATGTTCATAATTGTTTTATTAAGAGCTTATAAACAGATTTTTTTTATTTAGAAATACTCCTGCCCACTTGTAATGTGTGTTTTTATACAAAGTAATTTTTTCTCATATTTTAGATTAATAAGCATATATACACATGTGATTATATGTGTTAATGTTTGTACTGGTGTACATATTTGAATGTTCATATAAAATTATGATTTGATTACTATAACACAAAGCTAGATATAGCCTAAACAGTTTAAGATATGCAATACTCTATTTTCAAATATTCTTTGTTTAGTATACAAAGCCTTGAACATGCAATTTTTATTTTTATTTTTTTGTTTTTTTCAAGACAGGGTTTCTCCATGTAGTTTTGGTACCTGTCCTGGATCTTGCTCTGTAGCCCAGGCTGGCCTCGAACTCACAGAGATCTGCCTGGCTCTGCCTCCCGAGTGCTGGGATTAAAGGCGTGTGCCACCACTGCCTGGCTAACATGCAATTTTTAAAGGATCTAATAAAGATTTCCAAAAGTTGGGTGCAATTTTATTCTCCTCACACAATTATAAATATTTCCACTGACTGACATTCTAGCAATGCTGTTTTGTCTCTTAAAGCATTAGATTCTCCCCTTTGATTTCAAGTGCCTCTTCTTACAAATGGTGGCTTTGCTTAGCTGGCAGCAAGACCAGCACTTGTCTTTCTTCACGAGATTGGACATTTGTCCTAGCAAACATGGCTGAATCCAGTTCCACTTGTAAGATTGCGCGTGTACATCCACAGTCTGTGTGTGTTTGTCCCCCAGCCCTGTGGGCACAGGATCAGGCCAGCTGACTGGCTTCTATTCCTGGTGCTCTGCAGCTTTCGATAACACTAAAGTATGCATATGGAAACATTTTTATTTTTTCAGATTGCCTTATGTGTCTGCTTAAATTGTTTCCTCAATTGCCATTTGAACAGCAACAGATGGTTTTCATGAAGACAATTATGTAGCAGAAGTCCTCATAAGCTGGGATCAGCCTTTGGCAAACTCACTGTTTTATCTCAATTTACAGGTGAATGGGATGCGAAGAAAGGGAGCATCTCTCCCTTTTGTGGATATCTTATAACTGAGGTATGAAAAGACAACTCAGGGTCAGGATAACAGGAAGTGGAGGGAGCCTATGATTAGCAGTAACCACGTTTCACTGTCCTACAACCAAGTCAGAGAACTATCAAAGCTTGTCTGTTGGATGTAAATGAGTATCCTAAGAAGCTAATTAAGCAGGAGCAATGCTGTCTCCAGTGCCCCCAAGCTCCTTCCAAGGTCCTAGGGTGGCTTTAGGAAGATTGTGTTTTTAAAACAGAAGACCCAGAATTAGGCCTGGAGAGATGGCTTAGCTTCTAAGAACATTTACTGTTCCTGCAGAGGACCTGAGTTCAATTCTCAGCATCCACATGGTGGCTCACAACCATGGGTGACTACAGTTCCAGTGGATCCAATGCCCTATTCTGACATTGGTGTGCACAAGGCATGCACACGGTGTATGTACACGCATACATTAAGACAAAACACTCATATATATATAAAATAAAATAAATGTATGTAATTTTTTTAAAGACCAGGAAAATTGCCTGTATAATATATACTGTGGCGTCCACATTTGTTTGTGAACAAGATAAAAAATAGTTCCTATTATTTTTCCATTAAAAAGAACCATAGAATATTTATAAAAATATTTTAAAATACTTAAATGCTACATTAATTGAAATGTACACATAAAAGACTATCAGTGGCTTTCTTATAAAGTCTATGTGATATAGAGGGCAATGGTTTCAATTGTGTTATGCTGTGAATAACAGAAAAGCAGTGAATGAAGCTTTATTTGTAGCTCTTTTTCTTATTTTGGAAAGAAATAGATTTGTGATTCCAATGAAAATGACTCAAGAAGCTTATTCTATTTGAGTGTCATTTGCTTCATAACATTCTGTGTGTTGGTGCTGATAGGGTGCATGATGATGTTTTGGGTCCCTAATCAATCAAACCAGGAATTAAGTCATGGCATCGTGTAATGGCAAGAAGCTTCTAGAGGATATAAATTAGAGAAGATAATGAGTCATTTGCATAGCTTCTATTTATATTATAGATGAGTAAAAGAATTATTGCCTGCATATGTAGTTTAGCTAAATTTTTCCATAAATAGTATTTCAAAAGTCTATCTCAATATATTTAATAGCTGAAAGTGTGAGTGACCTCTATGTAGGCTACTGATTGTTAGTGCTGTACTTTAAAATAGATGATTTAACAGCCAATTTTTATAAGCAGTCCTTTATTTTATAGAATTTTAAAATTATTTAGTATCTAATAATAAGTGATTTGTCTGTTTTTATGTCACATATTGGTGCAAAAGCATGAGTTATGGCCACATAGCTCACCATTTCTTTATTTTACGAGACATTGTCCTTTTTTATCAACTCATGGCAATACTGTTATTGTTACTTTTTTCTTTTCTTCTCCTTTTTAAAAAAATAATTTCTGTTTCATTTACATAAAGCAACAGTTCTCTGTGTTTCGGTCTTTGATACTGATACTATGCCTTCAAGATGTAACTATAGAAAGACTCATTTCCCAAGATTTTCTGAGTGAAAAACCTGCCACTCTTATTTTTTTTCTTGGGATTAGCCCCCTTGCTCTTCCTTATTTCCGCTTCGCTTGAAATGCATAGGATGGTTTCAGCCTCCAAACAGCTACCTGCTACATGTGTCCTGTTTGGATCAAAGGTATTTTGTCGTATCAATAACTGCCCACACAGTTTTGTAGGTAATACTTTCAAAGAAATGGTGACTCCTTAGGCATGAGAGCCGTGTGGATGGCTGCAGCAATTCAAAAGTAAACACACTCCCCACTTTAGCACACACACTGCTGATTTCTTAAACTGAATTCATTATTGGTTAGAAGAACTGCTCGTTACGTCCTTGTTACCTCTTGATGAGGCCACAGAGGCAGTGTTGAAAGCCAGGGGAGAAAGAGAAGACTAATGCTTTGTTACCTCTTTTGCAGCAGTAATTGTATTTTGAGCACTTCCTGTGGTGGTATTTTGCACAGTATCTTGTGGGAAAATGCGTTAGGTCTTTGGATGTTACAGCTCTAAGTGGGTTGTGCATGGTCTGACTAGGAGGGGCGTTTTGAAGGTAAACCTCACATGTTCTTACTAATGAATGACCCTTAGTCGCCACAGACTCAGAACTACAGTTATATCTTACCAGGAGACAAGTCATTATGGGTCCCTGCTCTTAGGATTGAAGGGTCTTGTTTCAAAGAATTTACAAATTGATCTTTTCCTAGAATTTCTCCATCATTAAGAAAATAATCAAATATTATCTTAAAGTAGAAAAGTGCTTTGGAGAAATAAAAAAAACAACCACCACATTATTTGCAATGAATGAATATTCTTGCAGGAGAAATTACTTACACTAAATTACTTTGCATTCTAATTATTTCAGATACTAGTCAATAGCATTTTTTATTACTCTGAAAGCAAAAAAAATCTGCATCATTAAACCCATCTTTTCCTATATCTATGTAGATATGTGATAGTGATTATTTGACAAACCACCAGAATTCTCTTATTAATCTGAGGAACCTGACCATCTTCTTGGAGAGACTTGCTAGCCAACCCTTTTCTCTGAGATTTTCATTGCTGCTGCTATAAAATCTGCAAATAAATTTTAACTAGGTTCTTCTTGATATTACTCATGTTCAGAGAGTTTCACTGTCAGAAAGTTCCTAGAATCAGTCACAATAGTAGTATATACTGCATTTCAAAAGCTTGTATACTTCGAAGGCAGACACTGGCCCCAAATTTCTGTTTCTGGCAAGAGGTTTCAGCGCAATAGTAATGAGGGTTAGTGGTGTTTTCCAACATGTGGGAATTTTGCAAGCATAAGCATCAGATATGTTTTCTACCTGTGCCAAACATGATGAAAAAATATGTAGTTATGTCTCTCCAATGCTGCGCTGGTTGCCTGTGGTTTTATACTAAACACATTCCAGAGAGTGGAATCTACATCTGGCCTACTTGTGCTGGATGCTTGGAGAGCTTAATTTGTCTTCCCTCACAGATAAGACTCAAACCCTGAATTTCATACTGCATCGTTCTTATTGTAGTGAGACTTATACGGTAGTCATGCACTGAGAAGGGGGAGTTTTCGTTATTAATTCAGAAGTCAATCACTTCAGTCATATAGCTTGTCTCTTTATTTTAGTATATCTAGTTTTACTTTGCTAAAATATGGGATTGTAAATTTAATCTAAATATTTGACATACTAACTTTTTCCTCTTCCATCAAGGAGTAGAAAAATTCTTATGTGTGTTGGTTTGTTCCTACTAACGTATTAGGCACTGTGGATAAACATATTTAACTTTCCTTTCACACGTCTGCAAACATCATTGGGTGGTTCTGGTGGGGTCACCTCAGCCTGGTGGTAGTCTGGCTGACAACTGCCGTCAGATCTGTGCTCCAGTTGTCATTTACAAACATGCTGAGACCTATGGTGGCTCTAGACTGTGTTCCTCGTGACCTTGGAGCATTGTCCACATTGCAGGAACATGGCAGCCCTGGAGCACTGTCCACATTGCAGGAGCAGGGCAGCTCTGTTCTGGTGACCTCCTTACAGGATTAGAAACATCTGCCAAGACAGAATGTACGCTGTGTTCTCTACACTCCTTTACCCTGGCGTTGTGACGATGGACCTTGATGAAAGTGATGGCTAGAGTTTGCACAAACTTCACACCGTGTCTTACATTGAGTGGTGACTTCTTAAAGGGTAAGGTGGCTGTGCTACAAAAATGCTGAGTGACGATTGTGAGCAGTGCAGAGGAACTATTATTTGTGGATCCTGTTTTGTCTTCGAATTCCTTGGCACTGGTGTCATAACAACATGTGATATGTGAAATAAAGTGCATTCTTCTACAGCTAAATGATTTTCCTCTAGGCAAAGTTCTGCTGTAGCAAACTCATTGCTAGATGGTGTTCTTGGGCTATGTGTATAAGCGGGAAAGCACAGTGAAATGTGTGCTTTCTGATGGAAATGCTTCTTGTTCATCTCATATGGAATGCATTTTGGTGCAATATGTCACTCCAGTTCACATTATCGAATTATGTTTCAGTTGTATTTGTGGAGCTGCCCACTTGTTATGCTTCTAGCTGCTTCTATCTTTGTATATCCACCTTGTATATATTTTTACTTGAAAATACTTTAAATGGTTATTTGGATACATATTTGATAGTTTACATATTAAACATCATGTTTTTCTTTCTTTTCGATAATAAACACCACTTTAAACGAAAGTTTCTGGGTTTTATGATTGAATTTGTCTCACTGATTATGTGCATGAGTTAACCCACTTCTTGACACTCATCCTCTGCATGTAAACTAACAGTAGTGGCAGATCCGATCTCTGCAGCATCTTCATGGTCCATGTTTGTCTGGCTTCTGCTCCTCTGACCTAATGTCTTATTTTCACATGTGGGATAAAGTCTTTTCACTTGTTACCCTTGACAAGAGTATTATCTCTTGTTTCCTTCTAATTCAGGATCATGTATTTCCCTAGAATATTCTTTGTAAAACTGAAATCAGGTCACATTTTCAAAACATTTTCCCACTTGTTTGTTTGAAGATAAACCTTAAATTCCTTCATATAGTGTGTAGGGCTTTCCATAGTGTATAGTGTTTCCATCGTGTACAGAGTTTTCCATACTGTATCGGGTTTTCCACAATGTACCTGTTTTTCCATAGTGTATAGGGATTTCTATAGTGTATAGGATTTTCAATAGTGTGTAGGGCTTTCCATAGTGTATAGGGTTTTTCATTATATATGGGTTTTTCCAGTGTGTAGTGTTTTTCATGTGTATAGGGTTTTCCATAGTGTGTAGGATTTTCTATAGTATATACAGCTTTCTATAGTGTATAGGTTTTTCCCATAGTGTATAGAGTTTTTCATAGTGTGATGGGCTTTCTGTAGTGTATAGGACTTTCCACAGTGTATAAGGCTTTCCAGAGTCTGTCCTTACTCCACCTCCCATAGTCTCTGTAGTCATATTAAATATCTTTTCAGAGGTTCAGTGAAGAGCAGATGTCAATATTATTGTTACTTAATGCAATGCAAACTCTTATAGGAACTATATGTTACTTCCCAACACCCATATTCTTTTTCATACAAAGCAAACCTCTATCCAACATAACATATTGAGTTTAAAAAAAAAATGATCTCATCCAGAAATCCTCACAAAGTTGGTTCAGGACCTGGTTCACAGCCTGGTTTCTGATCTTCATTGTGGTGATATATTGTATACCCCAATAAAGCTTACCTGGGGATCAGAGGACAGAGCCAGCCACTAAATTAGACATAGAGGTCAAGCAGTGGTGGCACACACCTTTAATCCTATCATTCAGGAGGCAGAGATTTGTCTGGATCTCTGTGAGTTCAAGGCCACACTGGGCTACATGAGAGAAACAGAACCAGGCAGTGGTGACACATGCCTTTAATCCCAGGAAATAATGTGGCAGGATACAGAAAGGTATATAAGGCATGAGGAAACAGGAACTCACTCTCTTTAGGCTGAGGATTTCCTAGAGGTAAGAACTAGTGGCTGGCTACTCGGCTTCTCTGATCTTTCAGCTTTCACTCCAATATCTGGCTCTGGGATTTTATTAAAAGACCATCTAGGATTCATGTTGTACTTCATCATCCTGAGTGTCTCTCTTTAGAACTCACTGTATACTACTGTAATTGATTGATTGGACACATTTTCTCTGGCTGTATGTGTCCACTTTGTCTTTCATGGACTAAAGGAGGGCTTCCTCTTTTTCCACTTGAAACTAAATTCCTTTAAGTACAAAGGTGAGTAAAACAGGTATGTTAATGAAAATTTTACTACTACTAACATTTTTTTCAAAAACAATTATTAGATACATGTATGATTTTACCACTTATTAAAGGTGAAAGCAAACTTGCATACTAATTAGATAGACATGCTTGTTTATATTTACATGAGGAATTTAATCTTGCCTAAATATTTGATATTGGAGGATATAGAGGACCTTTAATGTTTTTCAGAGTTGACTGATAGTTTGATTTTGTAAACACCAATGCTGAGAATGCCATTTAACATAAATGTATATGACTACAAGGTAGAAATAAGCTTAAAAACCCATTAGAAATTCTAGCTTAATCCCAAGCAGATATTGCTGATTTTTTTAAAATAAAAATTCAAGTCTACAAATTTAAAAACAAACATTTTAACACAATACAAGTTTAAACTTCCATAATTAGGCTATTATGTTTCCTAAAAAGCAAAGTTTTGTATTTATAGTAAAAGCACTACATTTCATAGCACAGAACAATCACAATTCTGAGCTGAGTTGTTTCAGAAAGCAGGAGATGGTGTTATGTGGTGTGATGGAATGCCAAGTGCAAAGTGCATATATTGTGTGTGTATTCATAACCAAGGCTGCAGGGAAGCCGTGTGATGCAGCATGGGGATACTGCCCAAACCACAATGGATTGGGTTCATTGTGCATTTGATTTTGAATCGTTTTTTGGTTGTAGTGCAATCAGAAAACTTTTACTCTTGCCAAACTTTCCCATAATCATCACATCTGGTTATGTGACCTCAGATGGAATTGTAACCACAGTTTAAGAAATTGTGGTGGAAAACATAGGCAACATTCAATTGTGTTTATTTAATATATAAAAATAAAGCATGGTCAGCTGCTCCATTCAAGGATGATTCAACGTAGACAAATCAATCTTGTAATACTTAAAAATTAACATACTTAATTTCAAATCACAGGATCATGTGAATAGATGCAGAAAAGACCTTTTACAAAATCCAACATCACTTCATGATAAAAGTCATGGAGATACTAGGGATAGAGAGTATATTTCAGCATAGCAAAAGTTGTGTGCAATAAACGGATAGTCAGCATCATGTTAAGTGGAGAAAACCTTCCACTAAGGTTAGGAAGAAGACAAGGATGTCCACTCTTCTCTCCTGTTCAGTAAAGTGCCTGAAGTCTGACCTAGAGCAATTAGATAAGAGATAGAAATAAAAAGAATATAGATAGGAAAAGAAGATAGCCACATGGAAAGATATTATGATCCTACCTACTAAAGGTTCCTGGGGAAAACTCGGGGAATTGATAACCACTTTTTATCAGAGTGGACAAGAGCCGCTCTCAGTTGTAATCAGAGACATGAATATAAGAGAGGTTTTGTAGGGAAGAAGGCAGGAGCACAGGGGTGGCAGGGAAATGAGAAAGGGTGGGGTTGGGAGTGGTCAAAATTGTCCAAGAACAAGCTACTTATAAACCAATTAAAGCATGAATGGATTTGTGAAATATACTTTTGCAACTCTAAAGTTATGTTTCTATGGTGACAAAGTCTACGAAATCTTACATTAAGAAAAACAAAAACAAAAACAAATGGACTACTGAGAAGTTAGAGCTTCTCCTTCCCTTCCTTCCCCTCCTCTCTCCTTCCCTTTCTATTCTTCCTTCACTTCCTTTCTTCCATTTCCCACCTTTCTCTTCCCCTTCCCCTCCCTCCTACTCCCTCCATCTCCTCCCCTTCCTTCTGCTTTCTTCCTGTCCCTTTCCCTTCTCTCTTCCTCTCTCCTGTTTTTTCTTTCCTTCTGTAGGTAAGAAGAAATTCTCAGTCAAGAGTATATTATGAATTATTTCTGTTAGCATAAATTTAGGTTTTCTTTGGGTATCCTGCCCATGTACATAATAAAGTAATATATATTTTAATCCTAATAACTTGAAAAATGCTATGGTCTGAAGTGTAGAACAGAAGAAAGTCTAAATTGTGGATGATAAGACTTCATTCTGAAGATGGGCAGCATGAAACAGCATTTCTCTTCCTTGTTAAGGGAAAACATTACTGAAGGAATCTAATAATTTTGGCACCTGTAACATTTACATAATTTTACATTAAAATAATGTGGCCAGGCGGTGGTGGCGAACACCTTTAATCCCAGCACTCAGGAGACAGAGGCAGGCAGTTCTCTGTGAGTTGAGGCCAGCCTGGTCTACAGTGCAAGATCCAGGACAGGCACCAAAACTACACGGGAAACCCTGTCTGGAAAAAACAAAAACTAACTAACTAAATAAATAAATGCAAACTATGTGATATCAGTGATGTGGGTAGGGGGTAGTATGAGAGTGGTTAGTGGGTGCATGTTTGTGAAATCATCAAAAATCAAATTTAATGAATAAGACAGTGAAAACATAAATGAAGTTGTGCAATATTTTTATTTACATCTAATATTAAGTAATCCATTTGATACTAAGGCAACTGTCTATTCTTACTTTAAGACAGTGAATATGACTGAATGTATGTCTCATGAAGATCTATGATGGCCAGCATTCTGTTTGAGAACCCTCAGTAACCTTTTGGATATGCTGTTTCAGGCTCACAGAGTCTTCGACTTGAATTCTAGGCTACATTTAACGAATAAGGACTTGAGCCGATCATGTGCAGGCAGGTGTTGGGTAAGTAAATGTAGCCTTCCTTTTGTTTTCACATCTTAAAATTACATTTTCAGGCTTTCTGGAACTCTGACATTGAAGGTGGAAACTTCACAGCCCTCTTACTAGTTTTTATGGTCTTAATTTTAAAAACACCTGGTCACCAGCTGGCAGTGGCTAAAACTATCGTCTAAGAAGTGTTTGATGTTTAAAGAATTCTGAAATAAAAAATAATTAGGATTCAAGGTCCTTTAAGTTTTATTAATTCAGAATGACATGAAAGAGGATTTCAGGTTAAACACTACAAAAGTTGAAATACATTGCAACTATAGTAAAAACTTAATAAATTATTATAATCCTGTATAATATGAGTCGTGTAGCATACTAGTTATTTCCCTGTAGACAAAATTATAAACAGTCTTATTAAATAAGAAACACAGAGCCAAATACAGAGTTAATAGCTAAAGAGATCAGAGCAAGAGCCATGACTACCTTATCTTACCACCTGCAGTAGCTTCCCCAAAGAGACCTTCTTCCTGCCTGACTTGTGTTTTTTTTGCCTTTCTGTTCTGCCTTCTCATTGGCTCTAAACCCAACCACATGACTTCCTCATCACTGCCTGTCTGTACAGACCTCCAGGTCTCTATGGTTGGTACTGGGATTAAAGGTTCCTGTTACCACGCTTGGCTGTGTCCTTGACCACATCGAGATTCTGCCTGCCATGTGATCAGATCAAGGGTGTGGGCTACCACCGCCTGACTCTGCTTATGGCTCGCTTTGACCTCTGATCTCCAGGCAACTTTATTTATTAACATAC